TTCTTCTGGGCATTTCGGCAATCCTTCCACTAAGTCTGTCATGGATTGTGGTTTTTGGTACACCATAAATCTGACTAGCTTTCCGTATGCTTAAATTATTTTCTCTAATTTGCTTTAACGCTTTTAATAAAGCCTCTTCTGAGTATTGATGTATGGGCCGTTTAAAAACTTTTTTCCGTGGTGATTTCTTTTGTTTTTTTTCCTTCAAATTTCTGTTTATTTTTACCATATTACTGTAAAATTAAAATAATAAAATAAATAATATATATGTACTATTTTTTAATATATTTACACTTTAGAAAAGAATGGTCGACTTCAGAATTGAAAACACCCAGTAGTCAACACTAGATATTAAATATTTAAGAAGCGGTCGACTACTGGATATTTAGTTTCCAATAGCCGACCGCGCCATGTCGACCACTGTGAAATTAAGTTTATTAAGTCTCCAGAAGTCGACCACCCAATAATTCATGTATTTTGGCAGAATTATGTTAAAATTAACTATAGAATCCATGGAATAAACTGTCTAAAGTGTTATAAATTCATGCTTACCTATATATTTACAATATCTACACAACTAAACACAATTTAAACAAGCACTGCAAGTAGTAATTTGGCTAAAAATTGCCTTGTTCGCTAAAGGTGACAACTTAATGCCACCATTTGCAAATTTTCTGTTGCCCCAGTACTCGCTTTGATTGGTTAATTTGAAACCAAACCGTCCGACTACTGGAAAATTTGCGCGCTTTTGTTAAATTAAGATCTTTAGGATTATTTATAAGCAAAAAATGCTCAATGCGGTCGACTACTAGAGAAGGTCGACTTTAGGTAATGGAGAGAAATTGTCATAATATTTTTAGTATTTATTTGATAGTGCATGAACAGCCAGTTGTAGTTATTATATTGTTTATATAGCTTTTTTGTTTTCTTCAGGGTATTTTTATTATTTTATGATTTTGTTGGTTTAGGTAATTTAATAAATATTTTTTATACTTAATTTCAGTTTTTTTTTGAATTTTTATTTACATATTGCCAGTTTGTAGCAAAATATATATTTTTAAGTTTTAGGGCACAAAAAAATAAAATATTGAATGTTATATTTAAATATAACCAAAAAATGCTGCACGTAGGCACCCTAGAAACGGGCCTGTACGTTTTATTGACACGTACTCTTACATATGTAAACAAATTATACGTATTTGCATTCTTGTGAAAATCGAAAACCAGTATACTAGTAGGGACCTTAGGTAACATTAAATTCACTGATTTTTGCCTGCTGTACTAATTAAGTGATTTATTTGTGAAATGTACTAATGCCAATTTTTTCGAAAACGGCATATGTTATTTTTTTAATAGGTCCAGTCTAAAAAAAGGCTCAATTCGCTCATCGGGTTTTTCAGCTTATTTAAATTTGCGCGTTAAGGGTAGGATGCTTTCATCATATCGGATTATTAGGTATTCATTGATTAATGATAAATCATATATGTATGTAATTAATAAAGATAATTCATCATAACCTCGCGACGCGTCCTAAAACAAAACATAATATTATGGCTATCACACACACGTGCTTCTCAATACTAAAGAATTGTATTTTATACTAAAGCTTACAATATTATTAGTAATATTACAATCGCAATTGTGTTCAAATATTAAATTAATGCTTTGTAGTTTAATTCCAATCTACATCTTTTTAAGTAAACAAACAGTATTTGTTTTTGTTACCTATCGTGATATATCTAAAGAAGTTTAGTTCCTTAATTTTGTGGTTAAGGAGTGAAACAAAACGCAATAAATCCATTTTATAAAGCGTCTTACATAAAAAATAAATTTAGATAACGTTATAAAAAATATAGTAACTAGGGTTGCCTTATAAAAGTGTTTGACCAAAGTTTAGGCTTCGTCCAAAAATGCCACGTTTGGCCAAACATTTGGCTTAGTTATCCAAAATCTTAAGATTAAAACTATTAAAAATTTTAAAAATAAAATAATGGTTAATAAAAAATTATTAGGCATTAAGATTAATTTCAAAATAATAGTATATTATGTATCAAGTTTGATAAACGCCATTTTATACACGAATTTAATTTAGCGAGCTTGCGAGCGAGTGCTTAAATTAATGAGTGTATAGAAAAGTTTATAAACGAGGTGCATACTATACTTTTTCTACGACAAATACTTATTATTATCTTAAAATGATTTAAATCAAAAATTTGTGTAGAGCGCCATCTAAGAAACAATAGAGGAATCTGTGTGTCACCGTCAAATGTCACATTTTTTTATTTTATAAACACAGATTAAAAAGGTTATAAATCGAAATGTATTTCTTGAAAATTGACAGTTTTTCACAGTGAAAGTAAAGAAAATGTTTTATGAGGACTTTACAGTGGAGTCCGTGCCCGAATTTAAGTTGTAGTTTACTGACGGCGAAATTAAAAGGTCAGTACAATGTTCATATAAACTTTTCAAATATTGGCGTTGAGAAACTATTTAATACTTTTGTATTTTTGTATTGAGATAATAAAATAATTTTCACATTTAGTATTATTTTACAAGAAAGGCACAGTGCCTTAGGCACTTTATTTTAACGATTGTATGACATTTGACAACTGTTAACTAACTTAAAACTAACTTGATAACTTCAGTCCGTGACTAAAGCGCCATAAAGCCACAACTTGTCAATGTGTATTTAAAAGGTCACTTAGTGTCATGGAAACATGTACGATAAAGGGCGTTTTAAAGGTGGGAGTAGAAAAAATAATTTTATCTACTCCTATTGCATAATATTGTTTTTTTTCCTGAATTATGATAAACATTATAAATTCAAAGAAAATAATGAACTCATTATTCATGTTGTTAGGCATCAGTTATTGGCTGATTTTAATATTCACTGTGATTTAAAACAATAATATTTTAAACTTGAAGAAGGCGACTATAATAACATTTAAAATTATAATAGGTACGTGAGGTTAACCATATTTTTATTTATTTATTTTTGAAAATCATTTAATTAACTACTTATTGGAGTAGATAAAGTATAGAATTATGCGCATTATTCACTCGGGTGATTTAAGCTTCATCCTGCATTATCTCTCGTATAATAATATACTATTAAGTGGACAATTTTAAAATTTTACATAAAAATAACTTTTTTCTACTCCTATTAATAATAATTCTAAAGTGATAATAGAACGCTCAAATTCCGTAATATATTACGGAATTTGAGCGTTCTATTATCACTTTTATCTATGGAATGACATATATTCCGTAAAGTGTTATATTCTATCATCTGATACCGACATCTCTGTTTTTAATATCTAACAAACTTAAGACCGATCCAACCTCACTTTCTTCCAATCAAATGAATTTTCTATGGTATTTTATGGAAACGTAGAAAAAGTATAGTCTGAAACACGTTTGGAATTGCATATTCCGCTCTCGTGAAACCGTCAAACTCGCCTTCGGCTCGTGTGACAAACTCTTCACTCGAGCGGAATATGCTGTATTCCAAACTTGTTACAGAATATACTATTATATAACTATAGTCACTAGCTTGTAAAAAAGCAATAATGCCATATGATATTTTTAAGATCAAAGTCGGAGACCATAATCCTTACAGCATTTTATTTAACATTTTGGTTTGCATTTATCGGGTTTTGGGTGGCACTGTAGAAAAAAGTTTTACTGAGGTTTTTTATTCATTATATACAACATTTTGGGATTTAAACATTAAAAAAAGTTTATTCTAAATTTACCAGTATATACAAATAAAATAAACAGATTTACTTCTTCGTTCTCTTCAGCCCCCTCGGCAGCTGTAAAAGCATTTAGAAGGTTTTGGTTCCATTCCAACCCCAACCAGAAGTTTTCCAGTTTGCCCCAAATTGTTGGATCCTTTAATTACTACCAAATTAGAATTTATGGGCTTTTGGTTTGATTTGACTTTATAGATTGACAGGTTGCATCAAGTTTAGTCTAAAATGATGTGTAACTCAAAACCGAGCAAACTTGTATTTATCGGCTTTTGCATGGTTGCTCTATAATTTCATGTTTTAAATAACTTATAAATTATTACATAATGCGTAAATATATTCATATATTAACTAGGCAATTTATATATTTATATAATATATTATTTTTAATTTAAGTATTTAGTTACAACAATAAACGGCTAACTGAATTGAATTGTAGAGGTAAAAATTTCGATCATCATTGGATGAAAAGCTGCATGCGTTATAAAACATTTTTTATAGCAAAAACATGCACCGATGCAAAATTAAAATTACTCGAATGTAAATAAAACCACAAACATGTACATTTTCGGATAAAATATGAATTTTATAAATAAATTTATAAATAAATTTAAAAAAATAACCTAAAGGTATAAAGTCCAAATAGCTTTAATAATTAATTAATAAAGAGTTTTGAAACACTTAAACTTTACACATAATATGTTAATAAAATACAGTGGCGGCTGGGGGATTTTGGGTATACGGATATCTCAATTATTAGATATGGGACCCACACCAAATTTATATGAGTTTTAAGACATTAAATAAACAAGTTCTGCGCAAGCAGAATTTAAATTGAAGTTTTCGAAAAAAAGATAACTTTTTGCTCGGCCGTACCATGGCCATGGCCATGGCAATGGCCATGGCGCCCCCAATAAATATAATATAAATTTAATCGGTGCAATTTGTTATTGACCAAAGTTTATCAACAAATTTCAAATTTTATTTAAAAAATCCAAATTATACAGATTTTATATCATTTTAAATTTGTATTATTTCTTTTAAAAGAATGCTTTTATAGAGTTTATGATTTTAAAAAATTGTAATCTAGGGTCTTACGTCATGTTTTTTCAAGTTTGTTTCAGAAAAATTATGACTATTCCAATACAGTTTTAAAAAATTATCTTACGTTACTAAGCGATTTAATTTGATTTATAATAATTTATGTTACATACCATATGGTATTAATTAATTTTTGTTATATTTCAGGGGTACCGTCTTAAAATCTTATACCCAGTTTTGGTCCGACGTCGTTTCTGTATTGGGTCAATAAAAAAATAAAAAAATAAATTAAATATTTAAGAAGAAACTTACCATTAAATTATTGTAAATAATATAAAATATTTTATTTTATTAAAATGCCATGTTTAAATTTAATTAATTATGCCCTATTTTTGTGTTTACCTTAATAATAAAACATTAAAGAAAAAAGTTACCATTAAATTATTGTAAATAATATAAAATATTTTATTTTATTAAAATGCCATGTTAAAATATAGTTAATTGGGCTGTATTTTTGTTTTAATTAAATATTAAAAGTATTTTGTTTATTTCGTGCACATGACAACATGTCCTGAATAAGGATACAGGCAAAAGAATATAATGTTTTACAATCTTTCTCTTCCTTACGTTTTCGAGTCACCGTACACACTAGTAATACGCTACGCCACCTCTTATGACAAACATAATAATAAAATTGCTTTATGAAATTATGAAATAATAATAAAATTGCTTTATGAAATTATTAGTAGTAGTATTGCTCGTTTTGGTAAATAAATGGAGTGTGCAAGTAGTTCTTCATCTAATGAATGGGAATCTGAACTAGAGGAGTGTGATGTTGCTATTATTATAAATAAAAAACAAAAAAGAAAGTGGTGGGTACACAGCGTAAATCAAAAAAGAAATCTCCGAATATTAAAGTAGATTTCATATGTGTGTTCGAATTTACAAAGAATAATTTGATTATTTATACGATTTGCTAAAAGATAGGATTAAAAAACAAAACACCAAGTTCCGAAAAAGTATTAGTATTCGTGAAATACTTGCTGTTTGTTTAAGGTAAGTGTATTTATATTTATATAGAAATAACATAAATAAAAATGCAAAAGTCTAATCAATCAAAATTATTATAATTCTTGAAAAAAACAAATTAAAAGCATTAGTATTAAAAAATAAAATAAAAAAATAACTAAACTAAATACAACAGAAATGGCTATGAACGCCACATTGCGGCAGAAGAACACTCTGGTAAGAATTCGTTATAATCATGTGTACTGAGTAATGTAGAAAATGAGGGGCTGTACGACGAGGATTGAACTGGGGTAGAACGAGTAGAGGCGAGTTCGGTCAAATTATTCTCAGGAGTAGAGTTCGTTCGAGATTGAGCGTTTTTAATTTGGGCCTCCGTCACTAGCCTACACAGTTCCATTTTTATTCTTGCCTGATGTATTTCGGGCAATTTTTTATCCGCTTTTGACATGCTCAAATAGAAAATGTCCGAGTTATCCAACTCTACTGGTTTTTTAGAAGCTTTTTCCCTCCGAAACTCTGCATTTTGCTTCATAATGTTTACTAACTCTTCCGCAGGAGTAACCTTGGATGCCTTTCGTCATAGTGTTATTTGTTTTTTTTTTTAATTATCAGAATCTGATGTATCTGATGTATCAGATACCCAGCAAACATGCTGTCGTTATATTGACGTCTTGACCTATCATCGACGTATTATTCACGTCACATTTGAAACTTATAAACGACGCCATGTAATGTACCTATTTTAAACGTATTATTGACGTCATATTTAAAACTTATTAACGACGTCATGTAATGTACCTATTATAAACGTATTATTGACGTCACATTAGAAACGTAAACACGATAGTATACATACATATATGTCATGCTACATTGTATAAAAAATTTTCCCATTTTTGACATGGTTGTAATTATTATATATATATTATTATAAATTACATTATTATAATTTAAAATTGATTCGGACCCGCAATGGCGCCGAATTTTAAAAAATCGGATGTGTACACCTTTGTATCTTTGGCGGGCGGTTTTAGTATAGAGATGGGCTGTTCGATACAGAAATATTCTGTATTTTTTAAATAAAACACCCCAATTTAAAAGCAAAAGAAAGTTTTAGCTAAATAATCGATACAGTGAATTATAGTGGAGTATTCGTGGCGTATGCGTGCCGTAAACACGGGTGGCTTTGGCTCACTTTCAAACTTAAGCTTAAAATTTTTGTGGTTTTAACAATCATAAACATTAAATTTTGTATACCAATATTTGAGTCTTGAGTTGCTCTTTCATAATAACTATGTTATAATATTACACAGGGCTGAGTTTAAAAAATAAAAATTAAAAACTGGGTGTGCAAAGTTACCCCCTGGTTGCGGTTTACTTTGTCTCACAGTGTATTTTCCGTATAAAATGAATTCAATATTATATTTTATTTTTATTAGACACGTGTTAGCAGTGACATATATCTATTGCAAGGCATTACCAATAAAAAAAAATAAAAAATCGACCTGGAGTTAACCAAGGATCATCATTCCAATGGATTGCGCATAATATAGAAATTGTAACGCGTGTATTTCTAAGAGTTTTGCACTGATGAGATATATACAATTTTAAAGTGTAATAAATCCCATTTTTTTCTTTAAAACACTGATTTTCCTGTAATATAAACTCAATAGAATCGCTCAATTGACAGGTTTAGACCAACAAATTATAAATGTTAATTTTATCGAGCATGAAAAGATTTTTCATAAATGGGTTAAAGTCACCCGCGGGGTGCAAAGTCACCCGTATTTACGGTACCGTGCTTGCCAAAGAATAGGTTAATTAAAACACCGGAGCATATTTCTGCGAATTACATTGAAAAAACCCGTTTTATATAGATTTTAAAAGCATAATAATAAATGTGAAGTTAGAAACGTTTTTGTTTATTTAAAGTTGGCAACGACGTGAATCAGAGCATCTCAGACTTGTTCGGGTACCTTCGGATGTTTCCTTTCGCCCTATTTTGGTTTGTTCTTTGGTGCTTGCCAAAAGCTTTCCTATATAGAATCTTTGGAAATCTTCGAACAGGTTAAAAAAAACAGCTTATTTATCTGAATTCACACGGTATATACATTGTGTTGTGAGGTCAGAGACAAGGTATCTCTGTGTGAGGTATAGAAGAAGCAGGCTGCATACTTGTTACGGCAATTTTTATAGGTCAGTTTTGCAGTGCACGTGGAAAACTGAAAAACGATTTTTACAGTTATATTATATCTAGTTGTAGGGATATAATAATGGGGGTGTTTATAGGGATCGAATTCAATGACCACAGCATGGCCATTGTTCATAAAAGCTGGCTAACGCCTCGAAAAAAACACACTTATTGGCCCCCTTACAAGAAACAGAAGCAATTTTTGCAAGCTCTAAGGAAAGGTGAAGAACCGGGAGAAAAGTGGGACTTGCATGAAGTCGTCAGACGTTTTTTTCATGAAGGTAATTTTAAGATATTTTCATTGAATAGGTTGGATCTAAATTTTTATTTACAGATGACTATTCTAAGGCCTGCCAAAAGTTAAAGCTGGCTGAAGAACAGTCTAATATCCAGTCTGATGATGGCACAACAAATAATAAACGAAAACGGTATCCACCAAAAAGACTTTCTTCTAGTGACGAAGAGGATATCCTCTCATATGAGAGAGGTAATAAAATTTCACGACCTCCAAGGATTTCAACAGGTATTTTTTCTAGTTTTTGTTTAGCAAAGCATTAACTGTTTACTGATTGCCCTTCTGCGAAGTTGGCTTCACAAAGTTAGAAGAAAAAAAATGCAATCATTTGTTTAACGATCCAATGGCAATCATGATTACCCGTCAAATTAATTAATTAATTTTTTTTCAAGTTTCTGAAAGGTCTATGAGTTTCTGTCGATTTGACTAAAGGTGGCAATTTATCTAAAGGTTGTATCACTCCAATGGTAAAACATTTTTCTGATTAAAACTGCGGTTCTGTTCGCATTCTGGTGACAATCCCCATAAATAAATTAATTTTCATAATATTCTTGCACTAATCTATTTTTTGAGTTCATTCCACAGAAATTTTCTGAAATTATTGTTTAAACGTGTAACAATTGCTCTAATTTCTAAAAGGTGTATGTTTATTTGTCACCTTGACAGTAAATTAAAAAAATTAAGTTGGCGCCAATGAAATTGACGCACTCTGATTTTTTATTTATTCATTTTCTTAATTTAGGTGAACTTGGGCCTAGTGTTAGTCGGCGTATTAGTGTTGAAGAAAATCCTGAGCCAAATACGTCAACCAGTGTCATTTCTGTTGATCGGGCAGGTTCCATAGGAAATAAAGTTATTCAAGATTCTATTTTAAAAATTTTAGGCCAAATAAAAGAGCAAAATAATGAAATTTTGTCGTTGGTACGGGAAAATAGATCCAATTCAAATACTTTACCACCTGGAGCGTTGCCGGCTAATTTCTCAGTAAAGCTCCCAATTAATTGCCAAGAAGATTTAGAGCAGTTGGAGAACTTTTTAACAACTGATAGTGAGCTGCATGCTTTAGTAAGCCATTTTCACTTTTTTTTAATTTATTTAACAACACTTCTTTTGTAGACGTTATATTTATCTGGTTTCGGAGGTCGCGACTTGGCCAACACAACAAATAGAATATTGAAGCATATTTTCAGAAATTATTTAGCAACATTTTATTCCTTTTTTGGCAAAAGAGCAAATAAACAACCATTTAGAGCTTTAAGGCTAAAAATTGCTGTAATTGGTAAATATATGCAATATTTTTTGGCATCTTCTCTAGGCCTTTATTTTCAGACGCTGTAAAAACGAAATTGACAGAAACCACCCAAAAAGACGTTGGGGATTGCATGAAACTTTGGCTCAAGCATTCACCACAGCGACTCAAAAATGAAAAGAAGAGTACTTTGTTAGATACTGAGTAAGTGTCCCCCAAACAATAATTGACATGTCTTCAAAAGAAACCTACCATAAGCAGAAATACCCTGTTAGTTCTCGCCAAACTTATAGGCGCGTTGCGACTACAGTAAAAAATTTAAAACAGCAATTAACTGAACAAACTCATGACAGTAGTGTTAGATTTAACAGTACAACCAAGAACACAAATAAAAATTTTAATCAAACCAGTTTTTCTTTGCCTGCAATTAATGTTAGTGATATGTATTTAAATGCTAGCTCTGCTATTTCTGATGATGAACCAAACTATGCTATTATAAATACACTTAAAAAGGATAGCTCAGTTGACGAGATTATTGATATAAGTAGTAATTCTGTTGATTTAAAAAATAATTCAAAAAATGTACCTTTAACCATGAAGTTAAAACAGTGGGTAGTGAACAGAAATATTCCCTATGGAGCAGCTACTGAATTGTTACATATATTGTCAAAATATCATTCAGAGTTACCACTGGATTGCAGAACTTTACTTAAAACATCCACCCCACTGCATATAAAATATTTTGAAAACGGTGGTGAATTTTGTTATCTTGGCATATTACATAACTTAAAGCGAATTGTGTCCCAAAATAAAGGTTCTACTGTGGAAAACAAACTCAAAATAAGCTTTAACGTTGACGGTCTTCCCTTATTTAAAAGTAGCACTATTCAATTGTCGCCTATTTTGGGACTTGTCAAGAACTTTAATAACAGTCCCTTTGCTATTGCTTTATTCTGTGGCTCTCATAAACCTGCTCCTTTATCTCAGTTTTTTGAAACATTCATTGAAGAACTTCAAATGTTACTAGAGTGCGGTTTTAATATTGATGAACATAAATACTCAGTTGAAATTGACAGCTTTATATTCGATGCACGAGCACGTGCATATATTAAATGCGTTAAATCGCACAGTGGATACTCCTCTTGTGATAAATGCACAATTTCTGGGGAATATTTAAATCGGTCTGTTGTTTTTAGAGGTACAGCGCCCAAAAGAACAGACCTATAATTTTCACTACAATTGCATGAAGACCATCACACCGGCGTATCTCCTTTGCAAGTTCTTCCTATCAGCTTTATTAATTCATTCCCTATAGATTATTTGCATTGCGTTTGTTTGGGCGTTACCCGTAAACTGATAAATAGTTGGATAAGTGGGATCCCTTTGGATGTTAACCCAGGCAACACAGGGTCGTAGAAATCACGTAGAATCGTCGACGAATTGGGTCGAATTTGGTCGAAGTTACATTTCAACCATTTTTCGACGTCTCAAAATTCACCAAAACACGACCAATTATTAACTTAGGTCGATGATAACCAATAAATGACGTCATTATCACGTGAACAGATGACGAAATTTTTAAGAAAATATGAAAATATAGTGATAATTAATAAGAAACAGTTGGCCCGTTTTAATGGGCCGACAAAAAGTTTTGGAATATTTTTAAAAACAAAAATTATTATTTTTATTTAATTTACGTTATTTCGACGAAGAATCAACGTGCAATATTTTATTAAAATAATTTTAAACATTATTTGGTTTTAAACTAATTAAGATAGATTAATAATTATTGGATCAATGGATTTTTTAAAACAAATTCGCGATTTTTAAATCCTTTATCAATTCATCACAAAATAAGAAATTAACATGTTACTGCAGTTGACAATCACAATTTTAATTTTAGTAAAATTATTTATCTACAGTGTTGCCAGATGTTTTATAATTTTCTTTTTTAAAATAGTAAAATTTAAATAATAATCGATAATTGTAACATAATTTAATCCGCCGCGTTGTTTTGCTTGTTTTAATACAATTTTTGTTTTGATAATTTTATATAATTTTCTGTAAATTTGATCATTTTGTCAACCCTCTTCGATAATATTAATTTTTACACCTGGCAACCCTGTTTCTCTTTGACACTACTTACAAAGCGAGGGAACGTTTATTCCATAGACAAGGGTTGGGTGGGCGGGGGGTTAGTAAAAAACAATATGGTTGATTGATGCGTCCAACTTTTATAATCTGTGGCATTTATACATAGAACAAACCATTTATACTGATAATACTTTGGCTGGGCAGGTAGGTCAATTTTTGTTTGTTTATTAATGTTTTAATTACTCAGTATATTCCGTAACGAAGTCATAACACCTAAATGAAGTACCTACATAAGCTCCTAAAATATTCACCTGTCATCTGTCTTAAAATTTAATGTGTTTGATTTTATAATAAATGTTTGGAGCAACTTAAAACATGTTTTATTAATTATTAAACCAAAAGCCCTTTATGCACTAGTAAAAATAATTATTTATTCTTATATCCGATATTTTAATGCCAGACATATGTATGTGTTTCTTCAAAGATTAACCAACAAATTTTTTTTGATATTCTACTTTTTTACATACATTTATTTTGATTATTAATTATTTACTAAATATATATCTACTAGTGATGCCGCGAGACGAGACGAGACGAGAAAAGTCCTTCTCTCGTCTCGTCTCGTGCAGCGAGAGAAAATGGGTCTCTCGTCTCGTCGAGAATACTCTTTTCTCGCTCGAGAGTGCCTTTCTCTCGTCTCGTCTCGTTTCTCTCGTGGTAAAAGTACCTAAGAATTTGGAATGAAATACGAATTCGTGTATATTTTTTTATATAGAAATTTAAACTGGAAATAAAAAAAAATGTGTGCCAAGACGACACTAATAAAGTAAGACTTTTTACGCCGAAAATGTCGCACATTTGAATCAAATGGTTGGATCTATGTGGAGTAGTTACATCTAGTATAGGTGTTTCTTTTAACTTGAGACAACTCAATATCTCGTGAAATACGCATTTCACAGAAAAATGTCTTAAACAAAAGGTTAATTTGACCAAAGGTTAATTATTTGGTGCTACCGCTAGCCACCCCTACCCCTCCTTAAGGGTGAAACGGGGGGTAAATTTAGAAAGCCAAAAGGAATGACCCGATGTTTTTCACAGATTTTGGTAGTACATTAAAAAAATGAAAAACTTTTATTTGAAACTTTTTTTCAATTTATCAACAGATGGCGCTGTAATTCAAAATTAAGAAAATTGGATTTCCTTGTAAAATGTATTATTTGAAACGTTTGAAAAACAAAAATTAACATTAAATCAACAATAGTCGGCTCTGAAAACAATTTATAACAAATGTTCAAAATGTCGGGTAATGAATTCTGGCTCCACCATGTCCTCCCGAGTTGTAGGAATTGCAGCGTAAACTTTTTCTTTCAAGTAACGCCACAGGAAGAAGTCTGGCAGATAGTTTTCTAGAAAGTACTTTTCACCATTTAATGCTGTTCGCCAAAGGTACCGCACCAAACGTTTACGGACCAGGGACGCTGGTGCTCCACTTGGTGTCGAAATGGAAGGACGACATTTCGAACATTTGTTATAAATTGTTTTCAGAGCCGACTATTGTTGATCGAATGTTCATTTTTGTTTTTCAAACTTTTCAAATAATACATTTTACAAGGAAACCCATTTTTCTTAAATTTTGAATAACAGAGCCATCTGTTGATATATTGAAAAAAGTTTCAAATAAGTTATTCATTTTTTTATGTACTACCAAAATCTGTAAAAAAAGGGTAATCCCAAAGTTACCCCCCGTTTCACCCTTAAGGAGGGGTAGGGGGTGGCTAGAGGTAGCACCAAATAATGTCCCCTTTGGTCACATTAACATTTTTCCGTGAAATGCATATTTCTCGAGATATTGAGCTGTCTCAAGTTAAAAGACACCCTGTATCGGCGCAGTAGTTTTCAATGGATCAAATCATTTGATCCATCCATCTGAAAACTACTGCGCATATATGATGTAACTATTCCACATAGATCCAACCATCTTGTACCTACTGCGCATGTCCGTCATTTTGAATCCGCAATTTTGTTTTTTTTTTAATGGATATCAAATTCTGAATCAGGGACCCCATAAATATCTGAATACTAAATTTTACCTAAACCAAGCCAAACGACGAATTTTCGTCATATTGGATCAGCCATTTTATTAAAAAAAAAATGGATATCAAATTTGTAATCAGGCCCTCAAAAACCACATGTTGTTGATAAGTTTATTGAATAAGCAATGCTTATTAAGCATACGGTTTTTTTAATAGTATAAAGATTGCCATAGATGTGCTTATACAGGGTAAATTTTAAAAATTAATATTATTTTATAAGTAATTTTTTCTTGGTTAACGTTAAGTTGAGTTATAAAATATTACAACGTTAACCAGGAACAAATTTTGTTTATTATGAAATGCGAATAATGTTCTCATTGGTCCAAATAAATATCGTCATTTATGTGCAAAATTATAATTTTTATGTAAAAAAAATTGTTTACTTATTACCGGAATAATCGAGAGAACGAGAGAGATCGAGAGAAACGAGAAATTCTCGAGCGAGAGAGGGCATTCTCTCGTCTCGTCTCGAGCCTTTTTTCGAGAGAAAATCGCCCTCTCGTCTCGTCGAGACGAGACGAGACGAGACGAGAGGCGAGAATCTCTCGTATCGGCGGCATCACTAATATCTACTATAGTAGTATATATATACTATATACATATAGTAGGGTTTACCTATTTATTTCTTAAAATTTAAAAGTACAATTAAAATTTTTTTGTTTTTTTAATTTTGACAAAATCACATTTCGCATTGAAATATCTGATATCAGTATCGGTAATTATTTTTATCAGTGTATGACCTAATCATATATTATTCAAGAAATATTACGTGATTATTTACGTCAAATTACGTAAATAATTACGTAATATTACGTGATTTTACACGTGAAATCGCTGTGACATATTGTCGTCAATTTTACGACGATAAGACGTGTCTAAGTTGGTGACTTAGACGTCACCGTAGACGTAAATTAAACGTGATATTCACGTCACTGTGTTGCCTGGGAAGTTGTCTGCCCGTTCAGTAAATTTAATATCAGAAATAGCTCGCTGAAAAGCCACAGAATATCGCACATTTTTGTTATATATAGGACCAATAGTGCTAAAGGAGATTTTAAACGTTTCTGTCTATGAACACTTTCTTCTTTACCATGCTGCTATAACAATATTGATTTCAAGCCATCACATGGATACGTTAGGGTGTAAATTAGCCGAAACTCTTTTGTTAATCATTGCGAGAAGATTTATGGGCCTCAGTTTTATGTGTACAATTTCCATCTGCTTAGTCACATAAGTAGGGATGTTGAAATTCATGGCCCCCTAGACTCATTTTCGGCTTTCCCGTTTAAAAACTATTTGGGTTACTTCAAGAAATTGGTAAAAAAACCGAACAAACCCCTCCAACAAATTTGTCGGCGAATTACAGAAATAAACGCATTCATCTTCAATGATGTGAACCAAAATGATAAAATTTCCTATCATTTCGAACATGTCAATGGACCATTACCCGCTAATGTTTTAGGGTTTAAACAATTTAAGAAAATGCATTATAAAAAAAACGTTTTTTCGATTTTCACATACTCGCAACGTGATGCCTATTGCATGGTTAAAGATGGCATAATTCGGATCTGTAACATTTTGTCTATTTCTGAAAAAACTTGTTAGTTGGTCAAAAATACAATAAATATAGTTCGTTATATTTATATCCAATCACAAAAATTAAATATTTTTAAAATCAACAACTTAGCAACAGCTAAAAGTCTATAATGTAGATGTTGCAACTGAATAAAGAGTACATATCATTTCTCTTTCTAAGCTTTAAATTTTTAACCGCAGCCGCAAAAGTAATTTAAATTTTATATGCAATTGCATTTTGTGATTTTTTTATTAATTAGTGTTTGTTTCTATACATTCTTTTTTTAGTTTTGCCTTTTATACATTGTTTATTTATTTTTGTTTTTATTTTTATAAGAATATTGTTTTATTTATTTTTGTTTTTATTTTTATAAGAATATTGTTTTTTATTTTTTATACGTTATTTCTAAAAATAAATCGCATTATATCTGAATTTGCAATTCTTATTTCATCACCCCTAAACAA